TGGCTTGGATACCCCATGTAATTTAATATCTAATTTTGGATGAATTACCAATGTTGTATACCCCTCAGCATTATAATGAACCATGTAACCACTATTGTTAGAATTATTGAAAATTGTATGTCTTTCTTTTTAGTATTGTTATCTTTATGTATTTTTATTGCACTTTTAATGTTTATTATGTTAAGAAAAAAAAATAGAAGCACAATTTCTTATTCTTTGTCTTTTATTTCACCCATCCAATGGACTGGTGCTCCAGTCCATCATTATTAAATTGGACAATGAGTTAAAAGATGATGTAGGACAGATCTGTTAAATATTTGAAAATAAACTTCTTTTAATTCATGACATGCATCTTCCTAAGAAAGAGATAAAGGATAACTTGGAAGAACAAACATAATTGACTTAGTAAATTACTGAACAGAAAAGAGAAAATGAGGAATAAATGCCATAGGTTTAAGAATATAAAATGACAGGTAGAATGGAAGATTTACAAAACAACAAAAAAGCTAGGGATTTGTTAAAATAAAATTAGAAATCCAAATAGGTTTATGAGCAACAGCTGGCTAAAAACATTAAAATTAATAGCAAGGATCTTTTTAAACTTGTTAAATGTAAACAGAATGTCAGAATTTAAATTGTGACCTTACATAAAACTGATGGTAAGGTTATTATTGAAGATGGTTAAGCTAAACTACGCTCCAGTTAAGACAGTTTTATTTTTCTAACAGGATGACTGATTTATAGTAGGAGTTAACATTGATAGTAGTGGAGTTTGGCAATTTACAAAAGTGTGAGAGGCAAACTGGCAATTTCCTGAAAATAAAAGGTGGGTTTAAATGTTTACTTTTCTGAAGGACAAATGTGCAAAGATAGCCTTGATGAACCATAATGTCCACTGTTGTCTGAATATTGTGTTTGTAATTTAAGTATCTGTAGTAATAAAACTTAGGCTTAAAGTTAAAGACTTAAATTTTAAACTTTTGCATACAAACAGTATCACTCCATTAAAATTGTAGGGCAAAACACTGGGCAACTTTTTTGTTTGCTTTTTTTTCTAATGTGAAAAACTATTTGCCCACTTATATTTCACACACATAACATTAGCTTTTCAAAAATTATATTGCCCAAATTTAGTCATTATTTGCATTAATATATGAACATCTAGGTTACATTTAACTTATGTAACTATCAATCAAAAACTTGAAACACTGAATACACGTTGTGCAAACTGTAACTTAGGTACCATATAATTTTTTAATGCTAGAGCTTCATTGATAAGTTCATAATCATACAAAAACATTAACATACGGAACTAACTCCAAACTTAATTAGTTTTATCAAAAATATTTAACACTAGGTGGAGCACCCGTCCGTCAGACTGATGAAATAAAAATGTGTTGTAGAAAAGAATAGGAAATTGTGCTTCTATTTTTCTCTTAACATTAATAAACATTAAAAATGCCAATAATGAAAAGAAAGGCATACTGTTTTCAAGAATTCTAACAATAGTGGTTACATAGTTCATTCTAATGCTGAGGGATATACAACATTGGTAGTTTTCCAAAATTAGGGGGATACGAACCCCCCCCCCTGACCTTCCTCATGTCAACCTGTATCACTGTGTCTAGTTTGGTGCTGATTGATCAAGAAATTAGGAAACGTATAAGGAACAGATACACACATACTGACGTTTATTAATTATATAGATTAAGCTCCATAGACTAAGGCTGTATGTGCACTATTTATTTTACTTTTAGTATTGATATCTACTAGTGTAAACTGTAACTTGCGTTATAAGTAAACGAAGATTAACATGAATAAAATTCCCAGGATTTTCAAAATTCGTAATGAAGATAATACTAATTACAATTTCTAGCGGAAAAAATCTGAATGAAACTGTTTGAAATTTTGCTTTATTACCGTAACTTCCTAACTTTTACGTAAATAGCAGTTAATTTATAAAAATTGAAATTAAAATCTAAAACAAAAGCCTTTTTTGAGTTTAAGTAATAAAAGTTATAATTTTGCAAGTTTAAATTTTGTGTTGTACAGATGTATAACATTAACACTAACAGTGTAACTTGTGCAAGTCATAACTATAATACTAATACTCAGTAATATATATATATATATATATATATACCCGTTTATTAAAACTATTAATTAACGTTTATTAATCTACTTTTTGGCAGAATTCACAACTGTGTTCTTAACATTTGTATAAAATGTATCATGACATTAATTATCAGATAGATTATGACATCTAACGTTAATTAGACCTTACCCAAAATCCACGGTTTTCCTGGGTTATTGGCTGAATCATCCTTTCTCCTTGTAGTTTTTCCAGACATGTCGAAGTTCATATAGATCAATAGTTATGATTTAAGAAATTAAAATTAGCTGAAATTCATGATATTATAAACTTCCTAAAGTATTTGATCGTTATAATATCCAAGTAGCAGTGAACTATTAATAGTCACAGACAATGTCGCCATTTAGCCTTATCCTTTTTTTTTTTCCTATAGTTGGGAACCGTTGCGTCATCTACAACACAATTTATAGAAAATACTGTTTTTTAAAGATTGAGCACATATACTACAATACTGTCTCGTCTATTGACCAGATATTCTGTTCCAGAAGCAAAAAAAAAATTTTTGCGTGTCACAGTTACAAGAAAAAAACAACAGTCAAAATAGATTTTACAACCGTTTATTCGTGATATTTGTGTAAAACTTATCAACATTTAAAAGGTATTGTGACGACTAAGTTAGTTATTTACTTATATTATTGATTTTTAATTACGAATTTTATACTCTTTAGTGTAAGAGTTATTATATATTTCATTTAGTGATTTAATATTTAATTATTACTTAGTTTTCATACCAAGAGTGTTGAAAGTTAATCATTTTAAAAGCGATAGTTCTGACAAGTGTCGTTACATAACCTGGTGTTACGCCTCCAGTCGTTAATTAACTTTCCGTAACTTCGTTCCGACGAAACTTTAGCGACACAAATCCTTACTTAATAAAACTGGTTTATTTTTTCCGAATACAACTTTACGATACACTTATTTTCAACAATCACGCTAAAACAAACGCTATATCAACGAACGTCAACAATACTTCTGACTGCAGTTCAATTACTCACTATCTACACACACATTACATTATTTTTCTCTGTCACGTTGACACCCTCTTTTATATACCAGACTACCCTATATCTAGTACATGCTAGAGCATTCGCCAAAGTACAGGATAGTTCTAGAAACGTGGCGTCACACTAGTCA